GGGGGGGGGGGGGGGGGTCACTTATTCTTCTTTTTGCTTTTTTTTGATAACTTGTCTACATTTTTTTTTCTCACCAAAGGGTTAGCACGGATGTCCTGGTTGGCCACGGGCAAAATAGTACTGTGAAAAAAGGTGGAAAGAACTTCCATCGGTGAGTGAAATATAACATGAAACCGTTAGCTTTCAAGCAGTGGTAGGGAGGTTCCAAGTCTCTGATCGTCTGCCTGTTGAAAGATTGAGTGTATTAAAGGGAGATAAGTCTGTGTTTTTCTTTTAATGTTGATATTCCGCCTGAAATAAGCTTAATTGAGCATCGATTATGCTGCTCTTGGAGCTGCTGATGTCTGGTTGTTGTGTTATCATCTTTTCAGTATACTCTGGAATATGTAATATGTATTCACCTGCTGCCCATGGCTACAACAGTCGTTTAGTTGTAAAGCACTTTGTATTCCTATGGTGCTTCGCCATAGGCAAGAGTCTAAACATTGTCTGAAAGTTGTTTATAGTGTAAATATTAATCGGACCTTTAGTAGGATAAATGAAAGAAGATAAATGATTAGTCTATGAGATAGCTAGCAACCAACCGCTACCTCCCATCAAAGAATCATTGTTCTCTGGAAGTTCCTATGCTGGAGATTGCTCTAAAAAAGAGTTGGAAGATGTATATTAGGCCTCTCTATTCTCTTTCTGAGTTCCTTATTGTGGCATTTTTTTTTTTACTCTTTTTGTTTGTGTTGCCTCTAAAGTTCCGTTCCCTGGCGTCCCGTCCCTTCCTCCACTCCCTACAGCAGAAAGTAAGATAATAGAACACCAAAAAGATAGTACTTTTTTGCTATAACTGTCAGCAGAGATTGCTTATTGTCTTATCTCTTTTTATGTTTATGATTGATAAAGTAAGGTAGCAAATTGTTTTATCCTATGGTATACTTGCACTAATCTTCTGTATTAGGCAATCCAGTAATTGTGCTTCAGTCTACCATTAATTCATTTCTGCTTTTTTTTCACAAGATTAGGAAAATTGAAATGACTCAGTATTGCATTTTGCAACGAAATGGTACGTGAAGGCTTGATTGAAGTAGTTCAAAAGTTCCCATTGTTAGAAGAGTTGAGTCTGAGACACAGTATCACAACAGAAGGTGTTGGATCTGTTGGACGCTCCTGCACACAACTGAAGTCTTCTGAATTAAATAACTCAAGTTATAACATAGATGAGAAACGTGCCCTCTCTTCTCTGCTCCATCTGCAATATTGAAGCGTCTGGACACGTTGAAAAAAGATTTCTTATGGAGTGGCAACAAACAAAATAATTCCATCTGTCTTAGCTAGATGGAACAATGTCACAAGAAAGTGGAGTCGGGTCTTGGAATTAAGAATTGAAGCGCCATAATGAAAGCCTATTGCTGAAATGGCACTGGAGATTCAACCAGGAAGAAAATGCTTTTTTGGAGGAGATTACTGGTCGAAAAGTTTACTTTGGAAAATCCATGGTTCAGCGATGGTTCTAATGCCCCACATGGTAGAGGAATATGGAAGCATATCCGTCTCTTGGATGTAAATTCTCTGAAAATTCTGATTTTCTCCTCGGTAATGGTAGAAAAATCAGATTTTGGGAGGATGCATGGTTGGTTCCCGAATAATCTGCAGCATCTCCTCCCTTCACAATGCAGTGATCGCTGATTTTTCACTGCTCAAGGTTGGAATCTCTCTTAGAAGGAATTTGAATGGTTGGGAAGTGCCTAGGACTTGTGATTTGTTATTTATGCGAAACATCTCCTTAGACCATCCAGAAATGGAGTTCAGAACACGACGAGGACATCCAAACAATCCTTTTTCAGTGAAATCATGCTACAAAATGCCGTCTTTTACTGACAACATTAGTCCTTGACCTTGGAAGAAAATCTGGTACAATAATGCTATATTTGGCATTAGCTGGACTATGCCTTGTCTCCACTCAAGATTTTCTTATGTTCTGAACAGGGTCGGATTACCAAAAAAGTCCCTCAAAATTTGGAGTACTATATCCGAAGCCTTATGGTGGGCTGTCTGGTTCATAGGGAGGAAGATAATTTTTGAAGGTAAAAAGATAAACTTTCTTAGCCTTAAGTTGCGTAATATAGACCCTTGTGGTCCGGCCCTTCCCCGAACCCCGCGCATAGTGGGAGCTTACTGCATCGGGCTGCCTTTTTTTAGCCTTAAGTTTAGAACTATTTACTTGCTAACTTTTTGGTGCAACTAGTTTTTGTGCAGGATAGAGATGCCTTGTTAGATATAACGGGTGGATTGCACAACTTCAACTATGTTTTGAAGCACTACCTTAGTGCTTGTTCTCTTTAATAAAATATCTTATTACTACCCAAAAAATAGATGCGGCTTTAGCTATTTCACCAACTTCGGCTCATTGCTCACTGGGGGGACACTATGACCGATGAAGGTCTTCAAGCTATTCTTGATTGTTGTCCTCATCTTGTATCTCTTGACATGCTTTTATGCTTCAATCCTAGCATTTACTTAAGAGTTTTAGGATTTACTCGTCTGTTTGGCCAAATTCTTAAATACTGCATATTTTAAGAAGCACTTTTATCAGAATAGTTTTTCATAGAAGTACTTTGGAGAGAAGCACTTTGTATTTGAAAAATTCATTTAGAAAGCGCTTTTCTATTTAGTATTTGATAAAAATATGCCAATCTTTTCATGAAGTGTTTTGAAGTGTCAAATTACGAAAAGGACATTATTAAGATTTATTTTACAATTAGTATTATTTAAATGGAGAAATAATTTTAAATATTCTTATTAAAATGAATTTACTTATGTGTTTTGTTTATTTAGATGTAAAAATATATGTCAAGGTTTTTCATTAATTTAAGTACAGTTAAAACACAAACAAAAAAAGAAAGGGGGAAAGGCTTTATTTATATGGGTTGAATTAATGAAATATAGTTTGCTAAAACATAGCACTAACTATTTTGGTATGGATATTGTTGTCTTAAAAAACTTAATCTTTTGCTTTTGGTTCTGCTGTTGGATTTGTAGCTACTCTCCAACAATAGAAAATAGTTTTTGTTGCTGCTCAAAAATACTCTATTTTTTGGTCAAGCACTTCAAAATGTCAGAAAGTGTTATGATAAATATCACATTATGGTGGATGTTTACTCTTCTTGCATGATCTTCATCTCAAATGCTTAATGACATATTTAATGACATATTTTGTATGTTCAATGACATATTCCATGACATATTTTCTTCATTTTTTATGCCTATATAAAGGCCTTGTAATAGATAGGAAAATATACACAATTGAAGAAGAAATAAGAATCTCTCTTCCTCTCTCTCTCTGTATCGCTTAGTTTGTTTTTGCTTGTTCTATATTGTTATTTTGGGTTATATTTTATAACACGTTATCAGCATGAGATTATACCATCTCAAGAAGATCTTTGAGAAAATTAAGGTATAATTTTTCTCAAATTTGTATTTTTTAAATTATGCCTGATATTATGAAAAGAAAGTTCGTTGCCCTTGAAATTTCGGGCAAGAACTATATGACATGGGTATTGGATGCTGAAATCCATTTAGATGCAATGGGTCTTGGAGACGCCATTAAAGATAAAGATAAATCATCTACCCAAGACTGTGTTAAGGCCTTGATTTTCTTGCGTCATCACCTTGATGAAGGGTTGAAAATTGAATATCTCACAATGAAAGATCCACTTGTTTTGTGAAATAGTTTAAAGGAAAGATATGACAACTTAAAGTTGGTCACTCTTCTACAAGCACGATATGATTGGGCTCATCTTAGGCTCCAAGATTTTAAGTCTGTTTCTGAATATAATTCTGCTATGTTTAGAATTACTTCTAAATTGAAACTCTATGGAGATAATATCAGTGACTATGATATGCTTGAAAAAACGTTTACAACGTTTCATGCCTCCAATATGGTCTTGCAACAGCAGTACCGAGAGAAAGGCTTCACAAAGTACTCTCAGTTGATTTCTGTTCTACTTGTAACTGAACGAAACAATGAATTGCTTATGAGAAATCACGAAAATCGACCCATTGGATCTACACCATTGCCTAAAGAGGATGAGGTGTATTCCCATTATGTTAATCGTGGTCGTGGTCGTGGTCATATTCGTGGTCGTGGTCGTGGCCATATCCAAGGAAGAAAATTTCATGGTGTTAATCATCCTCCATCGAAAAATAACTTCCAAAAATGGAAAGGGAAAGATGAGAAGTGAAACGCAGAGGGTTCAGAAACTAAATGCTATCGTTGCGATGGAAAAGGGCATTGGGCAAAAAATTGTCGCATACCAAAATATTTGGTTGAGCTTTATCAAGCATCTCTGAAGAATAAAGGCCCTGAAGTCAATCTTGTCTATGACAATGAATTTGACATCACCCACTTGGATGTGACAGATTTTTTGAGCACCCTAATGAAAAAATAAACCACTTGATCGGTGATGGATCTGTGGTTAGAGATGATTGATCAATTTAATTTTTATGTTTTCCTACTCGTAGTATGTAATGAATAAACATCTCGTAATTTTTATTGCACTTTATAATTCTTCTTATGTAGTTCTTAAGAATATTTTTATTTCCGAAATTTTATAAATTTCACAAACAAGGAGTAATATCCTATTAATTAGTATTCTAGTCTCAGTGATCTTTTAACAATTTTAACTTTCCTCTACATTGCTTTAATTCTCTTTAAGAAAAGGCTTACAAGCACCCTGAAACAACTTTTGTTACTTCACCCTCAATTTTTTTATGAGTATGTTCTTTTCTTACACGGATCAATTATTTTTCATACAATATGTAGAAAAATGCAAATAATTTATACATGTTTGTTGTAGTTGTATTAGTCATATGTGTACTTGTATTATTTTTTGCGTAATTATTTGTATAATAATTAGAATTTTCTAGAAAATGCATTAAAGGCTGATATGAATTATTGGTTTAACTTTATTTCTTTTCCATTTTTCTCTAAAAATACTAATATTTATTCATATACTTCTTTTGTATGTCAAACTACGGGAAGCAAATATGGATATCTTTCAAAGCAAACTTGGATCAAAGTTCAATTGTAAAAATATTTGCTTAATTGATTCATGTACGACACATACAATATTCAAAGAGAAGAAATATTTCTCTCATTTAAGTATGTGTAAGACATATATTACTACAATTTCTGGTAGTAGTAATCTAATTGAAGGCTCTGGAAGAGCTACTATAACTCTGCATATGGGAACAATAATTATCATAGAGAATGCAATGTTCTCCTCCAAGTCCAAGAGGATCTTGTTGAGTTTTAAAGATATCAGCAGAAATGAATTTCATATTGAGACAATAGATGAGAATAATATGAAATATCTCGTCGTTACCAAGAATGTCTCTGGCTAGAAAAGAATTATTGAGAAGTTCTCATCTTTATCTTGTGGCCTGTATTGGACAAAAATTAGTGCAATTGAGGCACATTCTACCTTAAACCAAAATGTTACTGCTTCCAATACTTTTGTACTTTGGCATGATCGATTGGGCCATCCTGAATCAATTATGATGAGACGAATCATAGAAAACTCAAATGGGTATCCATTAAAGAATTTGAAAATTCTTTTAAATAATGAATTTTCTTGCACTTCTTGTTATCAAGGCAAGTTAATTATAAGACCATAACAAACAAAGGTTGGGATTGAGTCCCCTGCGATTTTAGAACGTATACAATGAGACATTTGTGGACCTATTCACCCACCTAGTGGGTCGTTTAGATATTTTATGGTCTTAATAGATGCATCTTCTAGATGGTCTCATGTATGCCTATTGTCATCTTGCAACCTCGTGTTTGCAAAATTAATGGCACAAATAATCCGATTACGGGAACAATTTTCCGATAATCCAATTAAGTCTATTAGACTTGATAATGCTGCTGAGTTTTCATCCCA